GTTGATCAACGAGCTAGTCAACTAGAGGCTTACTAGGGACATATTATGGTCTGTGTATTCACACGTGTATTACGATTTCCGGATAATACAATTATAGCATGAATAAAGACAATTATCATGAACAAGGAAATATAATAATAATCCTTTTATTATTGCCTCTAGGGCATATTTCCAACAGAAGAAGCAAGGAACCTCACGGAGGATGGATACCAGCCCCGCGGAGAGCAATGAATTGTATATCTTGGAACTGTCGCGGGCTTGGGAACCCGGAGACAGTTCGTGAACTTCACGACTTAGTGAAGAGAGAAGTTCCCGCCCTAGTCTTTGTTTCAGAGATGAAGATTGAGGGTAGAAGGGTTAGTGATCTCACTACTAGACTTGGTTTTGAAGGTTGTTATCCAGTTAGTAGTGATGGCCTTAGTGGCGGACTTGCGTTGTTTTGGTCGAAGGAAGTAGAAGTGACACTAAATAATTTCTCAAATCAGCATATTGATGTATCTGTTAAGAACATATGCGGTGATAATAAAAAGTGGAGGTTTACGGGCTTCTATGCGAAAGCTAGAAGAAGTGAATGGGTGGAAAGTTGGAACTTGTTGAGATGGTTGAAAGCTCAAAGTGATGCTCCATGGTTATGTGGAGGTGATTTTAATGAAATTCTTGATAACTCGGAGTACTTTGGAGCTCATGATCGCCCGGAGTGGCAAATGGAGGGTTTTAGGCAATGTGTGGATGACTGTGAATTTCAAGATCTCGGGTTCCAGGGTGTACCTTTTACCTGGGATAATATGCAACATGGTGAGTCAAACGTTAAAGTCCGGCTTGATAGGTTCTTAGTGAACCAGGCGATGGCGTCAATGTATCCATCTTCCTTTGTGAGGCACTATCCATCGCTAAAATCTGACCATTGTGTACTAGTGGTGAAGTTGAAGGGAATACCAGTTCAGGATGAAAGGAGTCCGCACAGATTCATGTATGAGGAGGCGTGGCAGCAGGAAGAATCTTATGATGCCGCTGTATTATAGGGATGGCGTCAAGGAGCGGGTTTGCAAGGTTTGCAGGGCATAGATCATGCCCTGTCAGACATGCAAGTACATCTTACGGACTGGAAATCAAAGAAGTTTGGAGATGTGAAGAAGAAAATAAAGAAGGTACGTAATGAGTACGAGAGGGAAAGATCAAACTCGTTGTTTCGAGGACCGACCAAGAAAGAAAAAGATCTAGCCAGGCAGCTCTCGGAGCTTCTTCACAAGGAGGAGATCTTGGCGAGGCAGCGGTCTAGGGCAGATTGGCTCAAGGCAGGAGATAGGAACACGGGTTTCTTCCAGGCCCGTGCAGCGGCACGTAAAAGTATAAACAGGATCCGCAGCCTTCAAACTGCGGATGGGGAGATCTGTGAGACAAAAGAAGAAGTTCATGCTAAGGTGCAACAGTTTTATACTGGCCTGTACACGGCGCAAGAGAACACGGATGTGGAGGCAGTACTTCACCATGTGCCACATAAAATAACGGAACAGATGAATGAGAGGCTCACTCGGGCTTTCAGAGAAGAAGAGGTGAAGGCTGCGCTCTTTGCTATGGGGCCAACTAAGGCGCCCGGATGTGATGGCTTTCATGCTGGATTCTACCAACGCCACTGGGAGTTGATAGGACCGGATGTTACAGCAGCGGTACTTGGTTTTTTGAATGGAGGGCACATGCCGACGTCGGTGAATAGCACGGTGATAGTGCTTATACCAAAGGTAAAAAACCCGCAAAATATTACACAGTATAGACCGATCTCTTTGTGCAATGTTCTATACGAAATTTGCTCTAAAGTGCTTGCTAATCGTTTGAGGGAGATCCTTGATGAGATTATTGCAGAGGAGCAGAGTGCTTTTGTCCCGGGACGGTTGATCACTGACAACGTCCTAGTGGCATACGAGTGCATACACTCGATGAGAAGGAAGAGAGGAAAAAATGGTTGGTGTGCGGTGAAGATCGATATGATCAAGGCGTACGATCGGGTGGAATGGGAATATTTGGAAGGCATAATGCGCCAACTAGGGTTTCATGAGCAGTGGATTACCCTAGTCATGAGGTGTGTGACAACAGTGAGTTTTCAAGTGAAAGTTAATGGAGAATTACTGCCGCGGTTTTCACCATCAAGAGGTTTTCGTCAGGGGGACCCTATCTCACCATATTTGTTTTTATTGTGTGGGGAAGGCCTTTCTTGTATGCTGAAAAATTATGATGGAGGTTGGGTGGATAGGGGAATCAGAGTTGGTAACACAACCCCGTGGATTTCCCATCTGTTATTTGCAGATGATTGCTTAGTGTTTATGAAAGCTGACTCGAGGAGTGCTATGAGGCTGAATGAAATCTTACACAACTACAATATAGGCTCCGGTCAGAGTGCAAACAAGGCAAAAAGTTCTGTGCCTTTTAGCCCTAATAGTGGCGCCTCAATTAAGATGGGAGTTAAGGCAGCTTTACAAATACAGAGAGAAGCAATGTCGGAGAAGTATCTTGGGCTCCCAACAGCAGAGGGAAGGATTACAGAGCAAAGCTTTGAGCATATAAATGAACGCTCGAGGGCAAGGGTGCAAGGATGGTGTGAAAGAAAAATGTCATGTGCGGCAAGAGAAGTTTTTTTGAAGTCAGTGGTCCAAGCTTTACCGGCCTACTCTATGAGTTGTTTTAAACTCACAAAAGGTCTGTGCAAGAAAGTGACGACAAACATGTCACGATATTGGTGGGCTGGGTCACTGGATAAGAAAGGAATGCATTGGCAATTTTGGAACAAGATGTGCATTGCAAAGTCACAGGGAGGAATGGGATTCCGAGACCTGGAAATTTTTAATGACGTGTTGTTAGCAAAGCAAGCATGAAGAATACTTGAGAATCCAACCAGCTTGTGTGCGCGTGTGCTTAAAGCACGATACTTCCCTCATGAGGAGTTTTTAACGGCGGGATGTCCAGCTAGTGCATCCAAGACATGGAAAGAAATTATACAAGGAAGAGAGATGCTAAAGAAGGGACTCATCCGGAGAATTGGTAATGGAGAGACCACCGAGGTGTGGCATGATCATTGGATAGACGGGACAATATCCATGAAACCGATGGGAGCACTTCAGCCAAATTCAGTTCAGTTTGTGTCGGACTTGTTAGACCCGATGACAAATCAATGGAATACGGAGTTGATTCAGAGTATCTTCTATGCACCCGACGCGGCAGCTATTCTTGCTATGGCAAGACCGCGAGTAGGAGGTGCAGATGTGTGGGCATGGGCCAAGGAGAAATCTGGCCTTTTCACGGTCAGATCGGTGTATCGGCATGAGATGGAGACTAGAAGCCAGGGGACTGAATCTTCGGGTTCCTCATCAGGTGATACGACCATCTGGAAGGCATTGTGGAAAATTAACGTGCTCCCCAAGATCCGGGTGTTTTGGTGGCGCGTGCTAAAGAATTTTTTGCCGTCCTATGGGGAGCTTCAAAGGCGGCATATCAAGCAACTACCTCACTGTCCGATGTGTGGACACGATAATGAGACGTTGTTCCATTAGTTAATGGAGTGTGAGCATGCAAGACGGTTCTGGGAGGCAGCAGAATGTTTTTTTGGTATAGAGATACCAAGACTACACCCTGATACTTGGGCTCGAGATCTTTTGGATCATCGGTTTTACAAAAAGGAAGTGGCAGCTGTTATGATAACTGTTATGTGGGCTGTGTGGCATTCCAGGAACAACTATACTCATGGTGAGTTGGTGTACCAACCAATTAAATCAATGGTGATCATTGAAGAGATTATCAGGGCACTTGAGATACCTGAGAGGAAGAAGGCCGAAAGTACTGCCCGTCGGGGTTGGCTACCACCAGATGAGGGCTGGATAAAAATCAATACCGATGGTGCGACGGATATGGGGCAACTGCGTGGAGGAGCAGGTTTTATTGCTCAGAGATCACAATGGAGTTTTTGTTAGAGGAGGAAGTACAAGATATGATGGGGTTCTTGATCCATTATCCATTGAGGTACTTGCGTGCAGAGATGCGATCAATATGGCGCTAGATATGGGCTTGCAGCAAGTAGTTGTGGAGACAGATTGTCAAGAGATCCATCGGCTGTGGGAACTACCTCAGAAGTCGTCGTGTTTTCACTTGATCACGAAGATGAAGAATCTATCTTCTTTTTTCCAGGGATTTGAGCTACGGTTTGTAGGTCGCCAGTCTAATATGGTGGCACACCGTCTAGCTAGGCATTCGTTACAACTTTCTGTTTCTTTGATTATGTATGATACAATCCCTGGGTGACTGACTGATTGTTTGCAGTCAGACATGCTCGCACCTAATGAATAAAGAGTTGGAGGGCGTTTAGCTTAAAAAAAGCAGCGTGGTCAATCGAAGTTGTCGCGTTGCCTACGCTCGCAGGTTCTAGCGGCGACACTGTAGAAACGGCCCCACAGCCACAGACTTCGTCCCCATTCTCACTCAAAATACCGGAAACACCCCTCGCGCCAAGCCTGCAGCCTCTGCCCTTATCCTCTTCCTCTGTTTTTGCCCGCTTTGCCCCCACCCCTCCCGAGGGCGGCGGCGACGCCACCGATCACCGCATTGCCTACTTCTTCCGCGCCGGCTTCCCCGCTCGTCTCGTCTCGGCTCCGACTCCCACGCCACGCCATCGCCATCGAACCTTCTCTCCGCGGAGCACGCCAGCTCGAAGGAGCTCCGAGCGGAGCTCCGTGCGAGCTTGCTCGACTGCTGCTTCAGAGCTGGTGACGACCACTAACCACCTCGCAGCGTCCTAGGAGTTCCTTCTGTTCTCGTCTTTGTTTTGATTGCCGTGGTAAACCTAATTCAGATGTTTCTATATGGCAATGGGTGCTCCCATCCTTCCAGTTCTGCGTGAATCTGTTTGCTGGCGCGGTGGAGTTCGGACTCACATGACAGCAGTTCATTTTTCCCAGCCAAGTTGTTGGTTCGCTTCAAGGTGGTGATACTCCGCTGCTCACCTTTCTGTCGGCGCCATGGAAGCCGTGCACGGCATACAGTCTCTGGCTTCCGGAGACGGCCATCATCACATTTCCCGGACCCTTGGGCCGGCGCTGCTGATCTCCGTCGGGTATATTGATCTTGGCAAGTGGGTGGCGACGGTCGACGCCGGGACTCGGTTCGGGTACGACCTCGTGCTGCTGGTGCTCCTTTTCAACTTCTCCTCGGTTCTGTATCAGTATATGTCCACCTGCATCGGCATGGTCACCGAGAAGAATCTTGCACAGGTACCTGAAGATTCATGAGTTCTTTCCTCTTGTATATGTAATAGCTAGTCTCATACCGTCCTTTTTTCTCATCCCAACTTAGTGGTTTGTTATTAGTTGAATAAGACCACATAAAGTTATATAGTAGTGGGAAAATAAGCAAACTCCTATTTTGAAAAAAGATTAATATCCCAACGTCAACGTGACAAGAAAGTTTTACCTTTTGATTCTTATTATGTAAGTTCTTTTTGCAAGATACTCTATTGCACTTTATTTTTACATTTCCCAGTTGCATCCACCATATGGTTCTTACTTGTAATGCTTTTATGTGAATTTCAAGATCTCCGACCAGGAGTACAGTCGGTTTATATGTGTCGGCCTTGGTGTCCAGGCAGGATTGTCTTTGCTTACTTCAGAACTAACCATGGTATGTCACTATGTCTACAAAGTTGAGGCAAATCTTCTTGTTTTTCAAAGCTTCATTCTAGAATATTCATTTGCCATGTTATGTGTATTGACTTGTAAGTAGTCATTACCTTGTGAGAATCTGAGTAACTCCTGACTTCTCTGAACATTTAGTATTTTGTCTGTGTCAGATTTCAGGTATAGCAGTTGGATTCAACCTTGTATTTGATCACGATGATCTCATCACGGGCATTATTTTTGCATGCGTTGTAATCAATCTGCTGCCATTTCTTTTGTCCTCTCGGGTAAGTTTATTGTTGACCCTGGAACTAGTAATTCTCGATAGCGTTATCTAACTCCTCTATGCCCTATGTGCTTTTGATATATTATTATGACCATTCTAGGACAAGAGGATGTCTGGAACGTTAAATGCCTGCATAGCGGGCTTTACGATTCTCTGTTTTGTGCTTGGTTTGTTAATCAGTCAACCAGAGATACCTCTCCATGTGAATGTGATGTTCCCCAAGTTGAGTGGTGAAAGTGCTTACTCACTGATGGCACTTATGGGTGCAAACATAATATCACACAATTTTTATGTTCACTCATCAGTTGTTCAGGTATTTTCCAATGCCTCTTGCTCATACGTAGTTTAAATTGTCCACATATTTGGATTTACATTTGAAGTTGCACTAGCTGTGTCAAACTGTCTTCCATTATGAGTTGTTTGGTTACATGTTGCAACTTGTGTTGATACCTGGAGCAGTTGGCTTGCATGGTTTGTGTGTCATATTTCATAGTTTCAGATACAGATTATGCCATCGACGTGGTGCTGAATACATAGTAAGAAGTGTTCATCCCCAATAGGGACAATTACCCCCAAAAAAGACTAAATAGTTGGGCTTTGGGCTTTATGCTTGTGTTTGGTGTCATATCTCAAGTAGCTTCGGCATAGCGTTTGATTTGTTTCCTGACATTATACTTGACAGAATTATCATCTATACCATAGGAAATAGTGCTTTGACTATACTTCTATGATCATCGAATCAATTATGGGGTATTTGGTTCAAGGATGGGGTGAGTGGAAGATCCATCATTTTTCATCCCTCGTAAGCACAAAAAAACAAAAATGAGGATGAAGTCATCCCCAAAAATTTATAGGATGATCAGTTGATCACATGATGAACCAACCAATCTTCACATGAAGAGGTGGTCCTCCAATCCAACATTCAATTGAAGTATTAATGTTTCCAGGGTTCTCAGGCACTGTACTTTTTTGCTAAATCCACACTCTTCAACTATTAGAAAGTCTGGAAAACTGTTAATCTTTGGTTATGATGGTTCAGAAATATTATAGAACACATCAGGTATTACGTGGCAATGCACTTTGTACTCCCTGATTCTACAGTTATTTACAAACAGGTTCATTTTACTATTCTTTCCTGATTATTTGAGTTATCATTTCGTGTTAATTCAGATATCCTATATGCAGGTTCAGAGGAGGTCTCATGTTCTTACCCTTCGTACCCTGTTTCATGACCACCTTTTTTCTATACTATTCATTTCTACTGGAGTTTTTCTTGTGAACTATGTTCTGTTGAGCTCAGCAGCATCGGAATCTAGTCACAATGTGATCCACTCCTTTCACGATGCTGTAGATCTGATGAACCAGGTTTGTGATTCCAGTTTCTAAAGTATAAATCCAAATATTAAAATTACAATCATGCCTTTTGGTGTTCTATGTGTACGTCCTGAGTTTCTCTGGGTTCTTGTCTTCTGCAGATATTTACGAATCCCATGGCTCCACTTGTGTTACTAGCGGTTCTTCTCTTTTCGAGTCACATTATTTCATTGACATCTGTCATCGCCAGTCATGCGGTCATGGAGAATCTCTTTGGTGCAAACCTGTCTCTTTATGCACATCATGTGCTACTCAAGGTTCTTGCCATGGTTCCCACCATGTACTGTGCAAAAGTAGCAGGCTCTGAAGGGATATATCAGTTACTCATTCTGTGTCCGGTAATCCAGGGCATGACCCTGCCCTCCTCTACCATTCCTGTTTTCCGTATCGCCTCATCAAGGTCAATAATGGGCAACAACAGGATATCTTTATACGTTGAGATACTAGCCTTCCTTGCATTTCTTCTTATGTTGTTTACAAATATCATCTTCGCGGCGGAAATCCTGTTCGGTGACAGCAGCTGGACAAACAACCTGAAAGGGAACACCGAAAGCCCTGTCATAATTCACCATACTGTACTAATTCTAATGTCCTGTGCATCTATTGCTTTTACACTCTTCCTGGCTGTGACTCCACTAAAATCAGCCAGCAGTGAAGCTCAAACCCAGGAGTGGTCTGTGCACTCTCCGAGAGAAGCACCGGACACTACTCATCACAGAGAAGATACTTATCCGGAATATATCGCACACGAAGAAATTCAAAGGTATTCTATTGATGCTGTTCCAAGGGATTCATTGGAAAGTCATCAGAAATCAGCTTTGGGGCATACTGACAGTTCTGAAACCACTGCAGAATCCGATAACGGGACCCAACAATCAACTGCTCATATGGCGACCATTCCTGAGGCCGACCCCGTAACGTCCAGCAACCTTGAGGAGTCAAAATCAGTTGTTAGTGCTGGCTTTACAGAGTCAACTCCGAAGGTCTCTACTGCCACTGTGGTAGAACAAAGTTTCAACAGATAATAACCAAATGAAGAGCACGGCTGAGAAAGATGTTCAAGTAGAAACAGATGTTTGCACATACAAGGATAATGAGACTTCACATAATGTGAGATCCAGTAATAATTCCACTAGAGGCAAAGCACCCTCTTTATCTTCCAGTGATCCACCATCCCTTGCTATGAGCAAATATGAAGACACCGATGCTGTTAGTTGCAGTGGTGGTCTCCCAAATTTGCCTGGTTTGGGCCGTGCTGCAAGGAGACAGTTAGCAGCTATTATTGATGAGTTCTGGGGGCGTCTTTTCGATTATCACGGTAAGCTGACACAAGAAGCTAATTCTGAAAGGATCAACCTTTTGCTTGGACTGGACTTGACAACAGATGGTTCAGCTGGGAGAACGGATAACCAAAACACTCGAGCTTCCAAGAACCCTTAACGAGAGATACAGTGCCAGGATCAGGCATCTCTAGTCCAGACTTGTCTTTTGGTCTTCAGATGGGTGCCATGGGGTCATCAATCTGGTCACAGAACATGCGTTTACCAAACACAGACGTTCTGAGTTCAAGCAGCACCTTTCTTGACCAATATGCAAAAGAAATAGAAAATTATGATGTGACACCTTACTTTGATAACCAGTTCTATCAGCTTGCTACCATTCATGGTGGGTATCAGCTAGCAGACGATCTAAAAGGGATAGATGCAATTCGGCGTTCATGTTCCAGCATTCCACTGGACGCACGGCGACCTCCTATATCTTCTGAATCTGCTGGTTCTAACCATCCTGGCTCTGTTACTCGTGCTTGCAATCAAAAACTGCTTGGCTCATTTGGTTCTACCACTTTGCAGAACCCAACAATGAGCGGCTTAAGTACAACGATGGTAGGAAGATCCTATTACGATCCTACTACCATTCTTGGGAGTGAAAGTAATGGCTCATCTGCTTGCCCAAAAAAGTATCACAGTTCACCCGATATATCTGCTATAATTGCTGCAAGCAGGAATTCACTCTTGAACAAAGCAAATATGGGCAGCACTGCTGGAGATCACCATATCTTAGTAGGCTGGCATGTGAAAGATCACATAATGTGGGCACAGCGACCATGTCCCAGAGCTCTGTGCAGTTGAGTATGAACACCAAACCAACATCACTTTGGTCCCGGCAACCATTCGAACAACTGTTTGGTGTGCCGAGCGCAGAGTTGAATAATAGGAGCGCGGTGAACACCGAGCGGAGATCAAATGGCACCAAGGATGATTTCTCATACAAGGAATCTGAAGCAAAGCTTCTTCAGTCTCTCAGATTTTGCATCATGAAGCTCTTAAAGCTGGAAGGGTCGAGATGGCTTTTTAGGCAGAATGGTGGTTGTGATGAAGATCTAATTGACCAAGTTGCCGCAGCTGAGAGAGTTTCACAAGAAACTGCAGATGGCATGTATTAGACAAGGGTTTAGGGTTTTTGGCACACCTCCAACGTGGGGTGGCCCTTTCATTATATAACCATGTACAACATAATTACAAGTGGGGCCCAGTATATACAGAGTCTAACACCCTCCCTCAATCTTAACCATGCTCAGAAGAATTCACTAGGTTGAGATTGCGCCTACACCCTTCAAACTGAGGAAGAGGCAGTGGCTTCGTGAAGATGTCAGCAAGTTGATCTTTCGAAGAGATGAACTTGATAAGAAGCAGTTTCTGGGCAACACGTTCCCTGACAAAATGGTAATCAACTTCGATGTGTTTGGTGCGAGCATGAAAGACTGGATTTGAAGACAAATACGTCGCACCAATGTTATCGCACCAAAGCACCGGCGGCTGCTTCTGAGGAATCTTCAACTCTCTGAGCAAGAACTGTATCCATATAAGCTCTGCTGTGGCATTTGCAACTGCTTTGTACTCAACTTCAGTGCTGCTGCGGGGCACCATTGCCTGTTTACGAGCACTCCAGGCGATCAAGTTTGAACCAAGGAACACTGCATATCCCCCCGTTGATCGTCTGTCGTCCGGACTCCCAGCCCAGTCTGCATCAGAGAACGCAGAGAGAACACCAGAGGGGGCCGGTTGCAGATGCAAGCCATAAGAAGAAGTGGACCGGATGTAACGCAAGATGCGCTTAACTGCAGCCCAGTGAGAGTCTCGAGGAGCATGAAGAAACTGGCAGACCCGGTTGACCGCATAGGAGATATCAAGGCGAGTTATAGTCAAGTATTGCAAGCCACCAACAATGCTGCGATACTCAGTAGCCTCATCAGCAGGTAGGAAAGAACCATCATGAGCAGACAGTCGGTCAGTGGAGGACATAGGTGTAGTAGCTGGCTTGCACTGGAGCATACCAGACCTCCGAAGAATATCGAGAGAGTACTTCTGCTGAGTGAGAGTCAAGCCAGAACCAGAGGACAAAACTTCAAGGCCAAGGAAATAGTGAAGCTGCCCAAGATCCTTAACAGCAAAGTCAGCACTCAAAGTAGAAACCAGGCGATCCGCAGCATAGTCCGAGGAAATGACCAAGATGATATCGTCAACATAGACCAGTAGGTACATAGTAACTGTAGGTCGCTGAAGAAGAAATAACGAGGTATCGGCCAGTGAGGGAACAAATCCATGAGCCCGAAGAGTGGTGCCAAGACGCGCATGCCAAGCACGCGGAGCCTGCTTCAGACCATAGAGTGCCTTAACAAGACGACATAGATGCTGTGGACGAGCTGGATCAACAAAACCTGGGGGCTGACGCATGTAAACCTCCTCCTCAAGAACACCATGAAGGAAAGCATTCTGAACATCAAGCTGACGAAGAGACCATCCACGTGTAATTGCTAGTGAGAGCAGAAGCCGAATTGTGGTCGGTTTGACCACTGGACTGAAGGTGTCCTCATAATCAAGGCCATGGCGTTGCTTGAATCCTTTAGCAACCAGGCGAGCCTTGTATCTCTCGATGGAAGCCTTGTATCTCTCGATGGAACCATCAGCATGTTTCTTTACCTTGAAAACCCACTTTGAATCAATGATGTTGACACCAGCCTTGGGAGGAACCAGTCGCCACGTTTCATTCTTAAGAAGAGCGTGGTATTCTTGTTCCATCGCAGTACGCCAGTGTCGGATACTCAGGGCAACCTGAAAATGCCGAGGCTCAGCAGTAGGATCAGACTGGGCCTACGCCATGCAAGTCGCAAGCCAGGCCACCGTGCCATCCTTGCGTTCCTTAGGACGAAACACTCCACTTTTGCTGCGTGTGTGAGGACGCAGCACCGGGGGCGGAGCGGGTGGCGAAACCGACGGTGAGGAAGATGACGGGGACGCAGCATCCGTCATGGCAGAGGCTGACGCAGTCGGTGGCGGTGACGACGAAGACACAGCAGGAGACGCCGACCCACTCGAGGGCAACGTCGATCCAGGCGAGCAGGACAAGTGCCGCACAAGCGACGATGATGACGCGGGACTCCCAGGCGGAGACGGCCCAGGCGTCGATGGCGGGGGGCTCCCAGGCGGGGACGACCCATGCGTCGATGCAGGTGATGGCCCAGGCGTTGATGGTGACGGCCCAGGCATCGATGGCGAGGACGCCGGCGCAGACGAGATGGCCTGCTGGGCCGACGCACTAGTCAGCAGAGGCGGCGACTGGGCTGGCGTGGTGACGCGCGGGCCAGCAACCGTGGTCTCGGGCACGGGCGGGCTCGTTGCATGGGACATGCACGACGCCAGCCGATCGACGTGAGCGGCCGGTGATGACATGGCCGTCGGGGACGAGGGAGCCGGAGCGTCAACCTCATCCAGGAGCTGAAGCCGCGCACATCTCCCAATACCTGCACCATGGTTAGACAACAAAGAGGGCGAATGTGCAGCATCTACAAATTGATCAGGCAATATAGTGGATGGGTGCACTGGCGGTGTGTAGCTTGTGTCAGATGAGGGAAGAGCAGCAAAGGGAAAAACGTGCTCATCAAAAACAACATCTCGGGAGATATACACACGATTAGACGGGACATGAAGACACTTATACCCTTTGTGAACAGAACTATACCCCAGGAAGACACACTTCTTTGACCGGAACTCAAGCTTGCGATTATTATACGGACGGAGATGCGGTCAACACGCACAACCGAACACTTTAAGAAACGTGTAATCAGGAGTCTGACCAAGCAAGAGTTCAAGTGGAGTTTTCATGTGAAGGAGCCGCGAAGGAAGCCTATTTATAAGAAAACAGGCTGTAGTAAAGGCATCGCTCCAAAAACGAAACGGGACAGATGCATGAGCAAGCAAGGTTAACCCAATTTCAACAATATGACGGTGCTTACGTTCAGCTGAACCATTCTGCTGATGTGTATGTGGGCAGGAAACACGATGAGCGATTTCTAGTTTTTCAAAGAAGGTACTGAGGTTGCGGTATTCACCCCCCAGTCTGTCTGTACATGAATGATTTTATGATCTAGGAGTCTCTCAACATGTGCTTGAAATTGTAAAAACACATTAAACACATCAGACTTATGCTCAAGAAGATAAATCCAGGTAAAGTGACTATAAGCATCAATGAAACTGACATAATATTCGTGCCCACTAACGGACAGCTGGGCAGGACCCCATACATCTGAAAACACAAGCTCAAGAGGAGTTTTGACTATATGTGTAGAAACAGAAAAAGGTAACTGATGACTCTTGCCCTGTTGGCAAGCATCACAGACAACGGCATCTTTATTACTAGACTCGGACGGTAGCTCATGACGATGGAGGACATGGCGAACAATGGGAGATGCTGGGTGACCAAGACGAGAGTGCCATAGTGATGGAGACACACGGACGCCACTGAAGACTTGGAACGCAGCAGCAGGAGCGGGAACGTCGGTGGGAGCATCAAGAGCATATAGACCATGGCGGTAGCGACCTCTAAGAAGAATGTTCCTCGTAGCACGATCCTTAACAAAGAGATGAAACGGGTGAAACTCACAGAAAACATTATTATCGTGTGTAAGTTTAGGAATAGAGAGTAAATTACGTGCAACTGTGGGAACACGAAGAACATTTCTAAGATGCAAGGTCCTAGAGGTGTTTGTGAGAAGGGATGCCTGACCAACATGTGAAATGTGCATACCTGCCCCGTTAGCTGTGTGAACCTTGTCATGCCCACGGTAAGGTTGCTGGACAGTTAGCTTGCCCAGCTCGTTCGTGACGTGCGTGGTTGCTCCAGTATCCATGTACCAAGAAGGATCAACAGGATAAGAAGGGGTGTGACCCTGTTGCGCCATATTGACTTGACGCTCGTTGCCCTTGCCATTATTGCCGAGGCCAAGGAAGTCCGTCTTGAACCGGCGATGACAGCGAGAGGCAACATGGCGAGGCAGGCCACGTAGCTGGCATGGCTGAGCCGCACCACAGGTGGTACAACAGGCACAGGCGCGGCCATCAACGACAACCACCGGGGCGCCAGAGCGCGGGGCCTGCTGCTGTTGTGTCGAGGGTGCACCACCACCATCGGACTTGCCCCCTCCTCCCAAGGAAGATGCAGAGGGGCCACGGCCACCACCTTTGCCGCGGTACACGGCGTTGACGGAGGAGTCGGTGAAGACGTCGGGGCGGCGCGCGTTGAGCTGTTGCTCCGTTGACAGGAGACGGCTGTAGAGTTCCTGAGGACGAAGAGGCTCCTTACGTTCGTTGATCACCTCGGCAAGCGAGTCGTAGTCGCTGTCGAGGCCGGCTAGGATGAAGGATGTGAACTCGCTGTCGCGAAGGGGCTCTCCAATGGAAGCAAGAGTGTCAGCCAATTTCTTGATCTTGTTGTAGAAGGTGGTCACCGTACCATTGTCCTTGCGAGTTTCACCAAGCTTGGCACAGATGGCCATGGATTGAGCAGTAGACTGAGACGAGAAACTCGACTCCAGGATGTCCCACACCTCATGAGAGGACGAAGCAAAAAGGACTAGCCCGGCCACACCCTCACCCAGGGAAGACTGGATAGCTGAGAGGATGGCTTGGTCCTGAGCGATCCACGCACGGAACATCGGATGATGTGGCGGTGGACACGGCAGTGTACCGTTAACGAACCCCTCCAAGTAATGGCTGCGAAGGAGAGGAAGCACCTGAGCACGCCAATATAGATAGTTGTCCGGTTTAAGCTTCACCGGTAGGAGGTGCGAGAACAAAAACGGCGGCGAGGAGATCGCGGCCAAAGCAGCTTCGGCATCCACATATGGCGTCGGGGAGATCACTGGTGCAGATGGCGCCGCAGCCGGTGCATACAGGTGCGAGGGGCCATACGGGTAGGGCGCCCCATAGGGCGGCGGAGCCGGGTACGCGCCTTGGCCAGGATACGCCCCGTAGGAAGGACGCGCGTGTGGCGACGGGCCGTACGGCGCCGCGTACAGTGGGTAGCCGCTGTGATTGGCATTGGCGGCATCGGCAATAGTAGGGCCGGCTGCGGTGTAGATGGCGGTAGCCGGAGCAGGCGCGATCGCACGCATCTGGTGCGACGCGGTAGGGGGCGGCGGCGCAGGCACAAGGGAGTGCACGGCAGCCGACGGCGGCGACGGTTGCTGGGACCGGGCCGAAGCAGCAGGCGATGAAGACGAGACGCCGGCGTACAGGGAAGACACCGGGCCGGCGAAGAGAGACCCCGCCGATTGAGTCTGCAGGGGCCCGAGCGAGCCATCCGCCGTGTAGGGCGCAGTCCCGACGTTGAGGAGACGCGCGAGGGACGGCGGGAGGAACGAGTGATCCATGTGGACGGGGGCGGCGGCAGGAGGGCGTGGGAAGAAACCGCGGTGCCGGCGGCGCTTGAGGCGGCGGCGGCGGCTGGTGGCGGAGGCGGAGCGGAAGACATTAGATCGTTAGGTCGGATACCATATTAGACAAGGGTTTAGGGTTTTTGGCACACCTCCAACGTGGGGTGGCCCTTTCATTATATAACCATGTACAACATAATTACAAGTGGGGCCCAGTATATACAGAGTCTAACAGCATGGGCGCTAATTGCATGCACGGACGGCTCAATTGTGGTGCTGATTGTGTTTGGCAAGCTTCCCTGGTTGTTAGTTTTGGTGTCTGGTGTATCCGTTGGGTGCTAGACCAGTCCCTTGCGGAAAGTAGGCCAGAACTTTGGGGCAAGTATACTTATGTTCTCAACCGTCTTCAGGTAATCCTTTTGTCTTGTTATTTTGCACCCTTACCGCTGAAAAAAAGATTACAACATGCACCCTTACCGCTGAAAAAGGCAACCTGAGAGGATTAAAATGAAGTTCCAGTTTCCAGTAAACTATGCTAGAGTCCATTTAATTTGAGGATAAGATTTGAGAATATATCAACTAATTAACCATGGAGGGTGGAACTGCTACATGACAACTGAACTTACCATGGTGATTGGAACGTACTGTTGAGCATATATCAATGTCATGTCATTCCCATCATATATTCCCCTGCAAATGTGAGTTTTCAGTAGATATGGTTCTCCCATGTCATTCTCCAAAAAAAGAAAAATCAAGATTTTGGCATCTTTACAAATGTTTCGACGATGAAATATACAGATGCCAAGCTCTTACTAAACCTACTGTGCACATTTTGGCATCCAGATTTTCTGACATCTTGCTTGCTTCATTTGATGTAGGGGATACTTGATCCTGCATTTTGCAAGCCTCGGAAACCCGTCAGCGGGTGCTCATGCCTCGAGAAAGCACGTCTGGTCGCCAAGCCCGTGTCCGCCACCTTCACCGCCGCAGCTGACATCTCGGCGCTGATCAAAGATGTGGAGCAAGCAGTTTCTGGCCGGAGGGGTCGAAGCGGCACGGTGGCGGGAGATGTTGCCTTCCCTAAAGGGAAGGAAAACCTTGCTTCTGTGCTCAAGCGATACAAGCGCAGGCTCTTGAGCAACAAGCCATCATAGCCGTCAGTCAGTCTGTCACCAAGCCTCTGTAGACTGTAGGGTTCTTGTTACCGCTGCTTCTCGTATCTAAGGTATCTTGGGTTTTTCTGCTGCACGCCGAGTACGCCTGGAAGCTTCTCGGTCTTGGTTCAGTAATGGCAATTGACTGTAACTGTGTTTTTCCATATAATGGCAATGGCATAATATTTTACGAGGGCAAGGGTGAACTGTCCCTGACTCCCTGTAGAGATTGACAAAAAAGGGTTTGTAGTTTGTTGAAATAGCGCTGTAAATTTGACTGTAACTCAAATTCCTCTTGTGGCTAAATCTTTGTATTTCAATGTTTCTGCGGGTTTTGCCGCCCCTTTCCACGAACAAGTTAAAGAAAGCCCTAGGATCCAGGAATTGTCCTGACTGATGCACAGGGATCGTTTCTGATCTACGTAGTCCATCGTTATAACGTAATGCACTCTTGGCAGACTATTTCCACGTTTTGTTTGTTTGGTTTCCCATCTCTGGCATTGATCGTTATACACTCCCATCTCTGAATAAAATTCTTAGAGCAAGATTGATTGTGATATACTCTCATTTCTTAGAGCAGTATTTCTTATTGCCTATTATCTGTACTGATTAGTTGTATATACTATCTAAATTGTTCTGTATGTTGTTATACCAAGCCAATTTGTATATGTGACCTTGCCTTTACAGAGTATATATGTGAGATTTTCTTGGATTACGGACTAATGTATGGTCATGTTTAGGTAAATTCAATATATTTCATGTGGTCATTTATTTATTAAAATACCTATCATTTCATTGTAAAAACAGATGGGCGCAACAACTAATGTATGGTCATGTTTAGGTAAATTCAATATATTTCATGTGGTCATTTATTTAACAAATACCTATCATTTCATTGTAGAAATAGATGGCACAGCAACGCGCGCCATCAATGATCTAGTTCCACCATAAAAATATCTACTACCAGCGTTGTGTTGCAATCTACGTGCCACTATTGCTCCAAGGTTATAACTTTTGTCACTGGTGAGAGCGGTGCGGATAAGACTTAAGTCTGGAGCACAAAGTTTACTACAATCTTATTTTCCTACAATGCATTTTCCATTAAATAGTGCAAAGTATTGGATTGAGAGAAAATGAATGCTCTTTATTCTACCTTGAGTCACTCCTCTAGTCTCACCATAGCAAAGGCTAGTCAAGAACATCTCAAACTTTGACCTTGGTGGTTCATCAAATGAACCCCAAAATGGAATTTTGCAGTGATTAGAAAATGTCTCCAAAGGTATAGTAAATGAATTGTCATATAGTTTAAATGATACTCTGGACTCACAAGGATGGAATTTAAATTCTTTAGTAAATGATTCAGTGAGGCTGAGGTGTTAGTTGCACTTATCTACAATGTAGGGACTGAGCTCGACATTGTGAACATATTGCTCAAATTCTTCTTTGATGCCAACACACACCATATAACCGTTGCATGGCCATAAACATGATTTGGTGGCGGCATCTCGAATGGAATTTCCACTTGGTTCAACATAGGACCAACGAACGGAGCTGCTACTAAAAGATGCCTTCGAGGATCTCCGCCTCGAAGAACTCCTTCCAAAGAGGTTCATCATATCCGCGTACAATTTTCTGAAAAGAATTGGATCACAATTTTTTGTCAACAAAACCTTATAAGAATGATAGCAACTACTCATAGGGATGCATAGAGGCCATCTCAAGCATTCAAACTACTTAGAACTCTAAGAATTTACCATGCAAGCTTATCTACAACAGCACCAAGAGAAACTAATTATTCAAAATATAGACCACTAAAGCAAAAACTAATTGGACCAACGAAGGAGGCACATACCAAGTAACAATCCCCCAAAACAGTTTCGAAAACCGAGCTTCGAGCAAAGAGATTGAAATCCGCGGGTTTGAGAGCAAGAACACGAGAGAGAGAGAGAGAGATAGAGAGAGAGAGAGAGGGAGAGAGAGAGCAATGGTGATTTTTTCAGGAGGTAGGTGGTGATATGGGATGAAGAGATAAGTGCGGGGGCCCACATGGGGACCACAACCCACCAATGCGTGCCTGGGGTGCTGGCGCGCCCAGGTGGGTTGTGCCCACCTGGAGCACCTCCCTCTGATGTTATTTGCACTAAAAATTCTTAAATATTCAGAAAAAATCGTATTAAATTTTCAGAGCATTCTGAGAACTTTTTTTGGGTCATTTTTTTATTACACGGAAAACTCAAAAAACAGACAAGACATAGCATTTTATTTTATTTAAATAATAAAACAGAAAACAAAGGGTAAGGACAGAAGGTAGTGCTTACTAAATTCATCAACTTCATACTTCTCAAAAATGATCTATTAATAAGGTTGATCAAGTCTTATTAACAACTACTTCCGATTGGCATGAAACAGAAGAACTTTCGTGAAACACTAAGTTACCTCAACGGGGATATGAATGTCCCCGACAAGCATTTCATATTTCTTTTTGGCAGTAGGTAGAGGTAGTTGAAAACTTCCAATAGTGATTGTCAGAGATTTTTCAATAACATTAATACCACTCACTTGGAATTGTTTTTCGGAAAGTGCACCGTATGATCATTACCAATGATATTGCAAGTGACATTGCTTTTATTGCAATCAATAATAGCCCCTCCAGTATTCAATAAGGGTCTACCAAGGATAATCGACATGTTGTCGTCCTCGGGCATCTCAAGTATAACAAAGTCTGTTAAGATAGTAACGTTTGCAACAACAATGGGCACATCCTCACAAATACCGATAGGTATCGCAGTGGATTTGTCAGCCAATTGCGAAGATATTTCAGTAGGTGTGAGTTTATTCAAATCAAGTCTTTTATATAAAGAGAAAGGCATAACACTAACACCAGCTCCTAACTCACATAAAGCAGTTTTCACATAATTTCTTTTGATGGAGCAAGGTATAGTTGGTATTCCCGGATCTCCAAGTTTTTTAGGTACTCCACCCTTAAAATTATAATTAGCAAGCATAGTGGAGATTTTAGCTTCCGTTATTTTTCTCTTATTGGTGATGATGTCTTTCATGTATTTTTCATAAGGAGGCATTTTTAAGATATCAGTCAAGCGATTACACAAAAAGACTGGCCTCAGCATTTCAGCAAAGCGTTCAAATTCTTCATCTTCCTTCTTCTTAGTTGATTTAGGTGGAAAGGGCATAGGTTTTTGAACCCATGGTTCTCTTTCCTTACCATGTTTTCTAGCAACAAAGTCTCTTTTATCATATCTTTTATTCTTTGGTTGTGGTTTATCAAGATCAACAACTGGTTCTATTTTAACATCATTATCTGGTTCTTTATTATTTGTTGGAGTGTCTTTATGAACCTCATCATTGCCTTTTCATTATTAGAAGGTGAGTGTTCATTACCAGATTGAGTTTCAGCATCAGAAATAGAGACTTCATTATCATTATCAGGAGGTTTTTCTATTTTAGGTTCACTAGAGGCATGCAAAGTCCTATCATTTTTCTTCTTCTTTTTCTTTTTCGAAGGACTAGGTGCATCAGTGTTAACTCCTTGAGAGTCTTATTCAATTCTTTTTGGGTGTCCCTCAGGATAAAGTGGTTTCTGAGTCATTCTACCTCCTCTAGTCATTACTCTAACAACATGATCATTGATATTATTATTCATTTCATCTAACAACGCTCTTTGAGATTTAGCAACTTGTTCTAATTGTGTTTGAACCATAGAGGCATGCTTTCCTACACCTCTAACATCATTGGAGATTCTAAATAACAAGTCACTCGAACGAGCAATCATATCAGAATTGTATTTCAATTGTTTCATAACATTTGCATTGAAGTGATCTTGCTTTCTAATGTAATTATAAAACTCACAAAGGCATTGACTGGGATGTTTATTATAAGGGATATCACCTTCATCAAACTTCAATAAATAATTTACCTCTACCACCTTGGGTGGTGGTGGTGTTTCAAGCCCATGTATTTCTTCAATAGGAGGTAAATTTTTTACATCCTCAACTTTAATACCTTTTTTCCTTCATAGAGATTCCTCTACCTCTTGCATATCTTTAGGGCCGAGATATAAGATACCCCTCGTCTTTGGAGTGGGTTAGGTGGTGGTTCATGAAGAGTCCAATCATCATAATTTTTCAATATGTTATTCAATAATTCCTCAACTTGTCCAATAGTTTGTTTCCTGAAAACACAACCAGCACAACTATCTAGGAAGTCCCTAGAAGCATCGGTTAGTCCATTATAGAAGATATCAAGTATTTCATTTTTCTTAAGAGGATGATCAGGCAAAGCATTAAGCAATTGGAGAAGCCTCCCCCAAGCTTGTGGGAGACTCTCTTCTATAATTTGCGCAAAGTTAAATATTTCCTATAAGACAACTTGTTTCTTATGAGCAGGAAAATATTTTCCAGAGAAGTAATAAATCATATCCTAGGGACTAGGCACACAAGCAGGAGCAAGAGTATCATACCAAGCCTTAACATCACCCTTTAATGAGAACGGAAATAATTCGAGAATATAATAATAGTGAATCTTCTCATCATGAGAAAAAAGGGTGACTATGTCATTCAACTTAGTAAGATGTGCCACAACAGTTTCAGTTTCATAACCATGGAAAGGATCATATTCAACCAAAGTAAGTAACTCTGGATCAACAGATAATTCATAATCCTTGTCATCAACAAAGATATGAGAAGTAGAAAACTGGGGGTCACATTTCATTCTAGCATTCAAAGATTTCTCTTTCAGTTTGCATAATAATTTCTTAAGATCATCTCTATCATTGCAAGCATAAAAATCTTTAGCTGTCTCCTCATCCATAACATAACCTTTGGGTACTTTAGGAAATTCATATCTAGGAGAGCTAGGTCTAATACGTGTTTCAAGATTTTCAGTTTCAAGCTCTTCATCAATTTCAACAATTTCATCAGTTTCAGCATTCTCAAAATCTTTAGTTCTAGCAAGTTGTTCATCAAGAAATTCACCTAGTGGAA